TATTTCATGCCACTCCCTTCTGGCCTGCAAAGCTTCTGTTGAGAAATCAGCTGGTAGTCTTATGGGAGCTCCCTTGTAGTTAACTAACTGCTTTTCTCGTACTGTTTTTAAGATTCCACCTTTGTATTTAAGCTTTCACGTTTTAATTATGATGTGTCTTGGTATGGGCCTCTTTGGGTTCATCTTCTTTGGGACACTCTGCATCGCCTGGACTTGTTTATGTTTTTCTCCAGCTTAGGGAAGTTTTCTGTCATTATTTCTTCAAATAGTCTTTCAATCCCTTATTCTCTCTCCTCTCCTTCTGGTACCCCTATGATGAATGTTGGTATGCTTGATGTTGTCCCAGAGGCCCCTAAACTCTCCTCATTATTTTTGGATTCTTTTTTCATTTTGCTGTTCTGATTGAGTGTTTTCTACTACTTTATCTTCTAAATCACTGATCCAGTCTTCTGCTTCATCTGATCTACTGTTGATTCCCTCTAATGTATTCTTCATTTCAGTTATCATAGTCTTTATTTCTGATTGGTTCTTTTTTATGTTTTCTATCTCCATTTTTATGTTTCCTATCTCTTTGCTGAAGTTCTCCCTGAGATCATTGAGCATTCTTAAAACCAGTGTTTTGAACTCTCCATCTGGTAGATTGCTTGTCTTCATTTTCTTTAGTTTTTTGTTTTTTTCTAGCATTTTGTTTGGTTCGTCTACTTCAGTCATGTTTCTTTGGCTGCACCCTGTGGTTGTTTCTATGTATTGGGTAGGGCTGTTAAGTCTCCCAGTCTTGTTAGAGCGGCCTTATGTAGTAGGTGTCCTGTGGGGCTCAGTGGCAAAGTCTCTCTGGTCACCTGAGCTGGGTGCTCCAGGTGTGTCATTTGTGTGGGTTGTGTGTGCCCTCCTGTTGTAGTTGATTGCTGTTGGCACATCAGTGGGTGGTTTGATCCCAAGCTGACTAACTGAAATATTGGCAAGGAACACAGTGTGTGAGTTTTTACATGGTTGCTGACCCCAGGGAACAAGATTTTCCCCAGTTGCCTCTGGTGCCTGTCAATCCACGCTTTGGGTGTGCCACTTGTGGGGCTATTTGGATGGTGCTCTGTTGTGGCCTGTAGCCTGCTACCAGATATGTTGTTTCTGGAAACACTTTGGAGAGGCTTTTGTTCAAGGCAATGTCAGTCACTGCCTGTGACCATCCTGGGGCTGCCTTTTAGGATCTACAAAGTGATCCATGGTTGGTTACTGTCTGTGCTGGACCTGGAGTTGCCTGGAAGAGGCCACACTGCAAACCAGGGCCAGCTGTTACCAGTACCATGCCTGGGGAAGCTCAACAGGAGGCCCAGGGCACCCTTAGGCATGCCTCTACCTGCTGGTTGCCCATAAGGCTAAACCCCTGAAAGAGTCCTCGGGTGGTATGCAAGTTCGATGAGGCAGGATCTCAAGAAGTAATGATGCTGGGGTGAATGGTATTCACCAGGTTAATGTAGATTCAGATTTGGTGCCAGTGCAAAGCCTGGGGCCACTTAACAAAAGGCATAGCACACCAAGACAAATTGCGGCCTGCCTAGGACCCCTGACCCCCAAGAGTTATCTAAGAAATACTGCAGCACTGGCCCTGCTGGCTATCTGCTGCTGAAAGAGTCTTCTAACTCTGATGGTTTTCAATTCTAGATGTTTTGGGACCTTGTCTCTCAGGTGCAGGTATAAATAGTTGGGGTGCTCAATGTGGGTTTCAAAATCTTAGCTTCTAAGAGTGAAGCTCTGTGTTTTGAGTTCCCTCCCAATTGTGGGTCACTGTAACAGGGGTGGGGTCTATAGTGAAATTGTGTCTCAGCCTTTTCTACCCACTTCAATATGTGTTTTTATTCATTTGCCTGATGAGTAAGAGTTGCTCAGCTAGTCTATTTTACCCCCAGAGGAAATTGGTTTATATGTAGCTTATAAAGATGGTGAGTTCAGGATTTTCCTACATCCATAACTTGAACTGTAACCTTTGGAATATTCTATTATATGTCTGCTAGTTCCATTTGGTCTATTATGTGGTTCAAGTCTTACCTTTTCTTATTGATTTTCTGTTTGGATGATTCATCCAATCTTCAAATTCGGGTATTTATATCCCAAGCATTATTGCACAGTTTTCTATTTCTCCATTCAGGATTATTAGTGTTTGCTTAATATAGTAGGTGCTCTGATTTTGGGTTTGCATATGTTTATGATTGTTTAATCTTCTTGATAGAATGACCCTGTTGTTATATAATGGCCTTTTTTTGTTCTTCTTACTTGTTTTGGCGTAAACTCTATTTTGTCTGCTAAAAGCATAGACTCCCCCACTTTCTCTTGGTTTCCGGTTGTATGAAATACCTTCTTCCATTTATTCACGTGAACATATGTGTGTCCTTAAAGCTTCAGTTGAGCCTCTCATAGGTAGCATATAGTTACATCTATTTTTTTAAATTCATTCAGCATCTCTGTGTATTTTGATTGGTGAATTCAATCCATTTATATTTAGAGTAATTATTTATATGTAAGTAATTATTGATATTATGTATAAGGACTTACTAATACCATCTTATTAATTGCTTTTTGGTTATTTTTCAGTCCATTGTTCATTTTTTCCCTCTCTTTCATGTACTAATTAGTGTATTTTCATTAATCTCAAAGAACTTTTAACATTTTTTGTAAGGAAGGTCTACTGGTGATGAACTTCCTCAGCATTTATTTGGGAAAGTCTATTTTTCCTTCATTTTTGAAGGTTAACATTTCTAGACAGAGCATTTGTGGGTGGCAAATTTTTCTTTTAACACTTTGAATATATCACTTCCCTCTCTCTTCTGCCCTGCAGGGTTTCTGATGATAAATCCACAGGTAGCGCAATGGGGCTTCTTTGAATGTTACAATCATTTTTTTTTCCTGACTGTTTTGAGGATCCTCTTTTTGTTTTGACAGTTTCATTATTATGTATCTTGAAGAAGATTATTTTGAACTAAAATAATGGGGTAATCTATTAGCTTCTTGAACTTGGATGTTTAAGTCTTTCCCCAGGTTTGTGAAATTCTCAGCTATTAACTTTTAAAATAAACTTTCTGCTCCCTTCTCCTTCTCTTCTTCTGGAACTCTGATAACTCTGATTTTTTTTTTTTTTTTTGCTTAGTGCTATCCCATAGAGCACATGGCTTTCTTCTCTCCTTTTCATTTTTTGTTGTTTTTCTCCAGTGACTGGGTTATTTAAAAGGTTCTAGCATGTAGATCATTGATTCTATCTTTCTCTGGTCTATTCTGATAATGATCTCTACCAAATTTTTCATTTTATTCATTGAATTCCTTATATCCAAAATTTGGATATGTTTGGTTCTTTTTTTATCTTTTCTATATCTTTGTTAATTTTCTCATTTTCTTCATACATTCTTTTCCTGATTTTGTTGAACTGTCTTTTGTGTCTTTTTATAGCTCACTGAGTTACCTCAAAGTTGCTGATTTAAATTCTTTACTGGATAGATCACAGAATTCCATGTTTTTGAGATTGGATACAGGAAAGTTATTGAGATTTTTAAATGAAGTTTCCTTGATTTTTCATTTTCCTTGGAGTTTTGCCTTGACTTTGCATTTGAAGTAGCAGTCACCTCCTTCAATCTTTACTAGTTGCCTACAGTTGGGTGATACTTTTCCTTGGTTCTGCTTGTATTTGTATCTGGGGCTTTCTCCAAACTTATAAAAATGTACTTGTCTCATGCTTCTTGCTTTCTCTTATGGGAGAATTCCTAAGCTTGCATATTTTCTCTTTTTGTCTTATAATTTACCAAGCTGGCTGCTGGAAACCTCTTTTGTTTCACTGAATGTAGTGCTACAGCTCAAGTTTGTGGTTTCTCCCTTGACCTCAGACCTGAGTTTGTTTTCTTCACACACTTCCTGTCTATTGGATTTTGCTCTTGCCACTGTATTTGGGAACATGCATAAGGAGCTGGTTACAGTGTTAGAGGAGATGTGGATTTAACATTGGGGTATTGGGAGTGCTCATATATTAGGTGTGTGGATCTTCCAGTGAGGGTTTCCCACTGGTCATTGGGTGGGCTAGAGCCATTTTCTGCTTATAATTAGAAAGTTTAATCCATTTATGCCTAATGTAATTACTGATATCAAAGCATTTACCTCTGCCAATTTGCTGTTTTCTCTATGTCTTAAACGTTTGTTTCTCAAGTTCTCCTTTATAACTTTCATTTATAATTGATTTTTTTCTAATATCTCAAGTGATGTGCCATGTCACAGGTTGTTATGGCCAATACCTGTGCCTACTAATGCTTTGGGATAAAGATGCCTGGGAAGCTACCCCTTCCCTGGCCATGCTTTAATTCATATAAAACAAAGAGAAGATTTTTTTCCACTGGTGTTTGAGGGAGTTGCCAGGCATGTTGAGACATACAACTATGATATTTTTAGAATAAGGCTCATGTTGCTCCCTCTGGGACTAGCAAAGTGCACTAAGAGTGCTTGCTACCAGCTTTATGGGTTCTGCCAATATGGGATATAAAGAATGAAAGTCAGGTAATTTTAAATGACACAGAGCTCTAGTACCACAAAAGAGATGCTTCTTTCTTTCCCAAGTCTTTACCAGTTGTCATAAGATTTTGACTAGGTTCACAGTTATGCAAAAAATTATTCTGAACCTTTTTGCCACCTCATTAGTTGATTTTGGGGGTGGACATCACCATAGATTTGACTACTCTGCCATGTTAGGTGCTATGCCTCTTTAATTATTGATTTTTAACTAGTTCTTTATAATTTGGTTATTAATTTGTTATGTTCATGTAACTATTTTCCTTGTTGGTTGTTTTTGTTTTAATTTTTGTTGATTTATTATATTATATTAATAGTGTTCTTTATTATATGTATGTTCTTGATGTGTCTTTTTTACTTTATGAACAACCCTATAATGTAAAATGGGAAACTCTAGAGACCTAGTACATTGTCAGAAGATCAAAAAAGTAATAACATGGTTTTACTTTTCTTTTCTGCAGCCCAGCGTATCAGAAATCAAAACTGGCTACCTTTCCATCATCATGGATCCTGAAGAGATGCCCCTTGATCAACAGTGTGACAGACTTCCCTATGATGGCTCTAGATGGGAATTCCCTAGGGACCGGTTACAGTTGGGTGAGCAGCAATCTGTTATGTCACGCTTCCACATTTCTTTCACTATAAAGTTATAATATCATTGAGTAAAAGGCCCCCAAAAAAGCAGTGACTTCAAATCTATGATAAACTTGGTGTATTGTGTGCAGTGCGGTTCAGCCACATTCAGGATGGACCAAGATAAAGTGGGATGAGATTCAAATATGGTAATGGGGAGAAGAGAAGCCATAAATTAGGGGAGCACAATGGCATTGTACACATAGCATGAGACTGAGAGGTTTTAGATGTCCAAACTCAGTGACCTTATGCAAGTCAAGTCACTTAACTTCTCTGAGCCCCTTTTTATTTATTTTTTTTAAATAATTGTTTTATTTTTCATTACATTTGACATACACTATTATATTAGTTTCAGGTGTACAAGATAGTGATTAGACATTGGTATAACTTATGAAGTAATCAACCCAATAATTCTAGTACCCATCTGACACTATACATAGTTGTTACAATATTTTTTACTATGCTCCTTATGCTATATTTCATATCCCCATGACTATTTTTTAACTACTAATTTGTACTTCTTAATCCCCTCCCCCTGTTCACCCACCCTCCCAAAACCCTTTCCAGCTGACAACCATCAAAATGTTCTCTGTATCTCTGAGTTTGTTTCTGTTTTGTTTGTTTGTTTTGTTCTTTAGATTCCACATATAAGTGAAATCATATGGCATTTGTCTTTCTCTGTGTGACTCTACTCAGTACAATAACCTCCAGATCCATCCATGTTGTTGCAGATGGCAAGACTTCATTCTTCATAATTATTATTATTTTTTTCAATTTTTTTTTTAGCTGAGCCATCCTGCTACCGGTTGGCAGCTCAGCGGCAGCTCAGCTTGGGCCGGGACTCAAACCGTTGTTGCTCAGAGCTTGCACTCTTGAGCGAGCTCTTAACCAACTGAGCCACTTGGCCGGCCCCCTAAGACTTTATTTCTTTTCATGGATGAGTAACATTCCAATATATACATCACCTCTCCTTTATCCATTCATCCATTGATGGACATCCAGGTTGCCTCCGTATCTTGGCTATTATAAATAATGCTGCAATGAACATATGGATACACATGTCCCTTTGATGTAGTGTTTTGGGTTTCTTCAGATAACTACCTAGAAGTGAGATTACTGGGTCATTATTTGTCTCATGGTTTGGCCTTTGTTTTAAAGTGTATTTTGTCTGGTATAAGTATTGCTACCCCAGCTTTTTGTTTGTTTGCTTGCATTTTCATGGGATATTTTGTGTGTCTTTTGATCTGAAGTGAGTCTCCCATAGGCAGCATATGTAAGGATCTTGTTTTCTTATTCATTTAGCCACCCTATCATTTGATTGGAACATTTCAGCCACTTAAATTTAAAGTAATTGTTGATAGATATGTAGTTATTGCCATTTTATTATTCATATTTTTATAGTTTCCTCATTTTTCTTAAAGAAGTTTTTCTAACATTTCTTGTAATACTGATTTGGTGTTGATGAATTCCCTTAGTGTTTTCTTGTCTGGGAAGCTCTTTATCTGTCCTTCAATTCTGAATGATAGCTTTGCTGAGTAGAGTAATCTTGGTCTTTTTCATCACTTTGAGTATTTTGTGCCAATCCCTTCTGGCCTGCAAAGTTTCTGTTGAGAAATCAACTGACAGTCTTATGGGAACTCCCTTGTTGGTAAGTAACTGCTTTTCTCTTGCTGCTTTTAAGATTCTGTCTTTGTCTTTAACATTTTGCTTTTTAATTATGACGTGTCTTGGTGTGAACCTCTTTGGATTCATCTTGTTTGGGACTCTCTGCACTTCCTGGTTCTTTATGGCTATTTCCTTCACCAGGTTAGTGAAGTTTTGGTCATTATTTCTTCAAATAGGTTTTCAATTATTTGCTCTCTGTCTTCTCCTTCTGGTACCCATATCATGCAAATGTTGGCATGCTTGTTGTCCCAGATGCACCTTAAACTGTCCTCATTTAAAAAAAATTATATTTTCTTTTTGCTTTCCTGATTGTTCTCTGCTACCTTAACTTCTAAATTACTGATTCAAACCTCTGTTTCATTTAATCTGCTGTTGATTCCCTCTAATATATCTTTTATATCAGTTATTATATTCTTCATTTCTGACTGTTTCTTTTTTTTCTATTTCTAATTTTTATGTTTCCTATCTCTTTGTTGAAGTTCTCACTGAGTTCATCTACTCTTTGACTAAAATCATTGAACATCCTTACAACCAGTGTTTTGAACATTGCATCTGGTAGATTGTTTGTCTCCATTTTGCTTCGTTCTTTTTCTGGAGCTTTGTCCTGTTCTTTCATTTGGTACATGTTTCTTTGTCTCCCCATTTTGGCTGCTTCCTTGTGTTTGCTTCTATGTATTAGCTAGGGCTGCTGTATCTGCCACTTTTAGTAGAGTGGCTGTATGTAGTAGATGTCCTGTGGGGCCCAGTGGAACCATCTCCCTGGTCACCTTAGCTTGGTTCTCCATGTGTGTAATTTGTGTGGGTTTTGTGTGCCCCCCTGTTGTAGTTGAGCTTTGGTTGCTGTTTGCACATCAATGAGAGGGGTTGACTCTTGGGCTGATTGGATGCAAGGACTGCTATGACTATAATAGAGGAGCTATTGTACAGGGTTGACCCCATGGAGCAGGCTTTGGTACCTGCTAGTTTGCCCTTTGGGTGTGTTGTCTGCAGAGGCAGCTGGGTGGTGTTTCAGTTTGGTCCAAAGCCGGCCACTTGGTGTGCCACCTCTGGGACCTTCTGGGAAAGCATCTGCCACAGGCCAAATTTAGCCACAACCTGAGCCATACCCAGGACAATGTTGCATGAGTCACAAAGCAATCTGCAAATGGAAGCCACCAGCACTGGACATGGAGTTCCCTGTCAGAGGCCAAGCCATAAACTGAGGTCTATATCCTCTAGTTCCAGGCCTGAGGCTACTCAGCATGAGGTACAGGGCATGCTTGCTTGGGACTCGTGAACTTTTGAGAGATTTTTAGGAAGGTTCACAGCATAAGCCATGACAAGCCATCTGTATCTACTGGAAGCCTCTGAGCTCTTTTAAAAATCATCTCTAAAAGGAAAAGATTAATAATGATAGTTTCCTAGTTATATTCTGTTGCTAGTGTGAGGATGTTTTGAGGTACCATTTGGGAGTATGATTTACAAATGTATAACACTTCACAAATGGAAGGTATTGGTTTACAATGGAGACTCTTCGAAGAAAGTTGACTTAGGAGGCAGAATCCTTTCAATACACAATATATAATGAATGCCCACGGAAGTATGAAGTCTGACAATTAAGTTCAAGAACTTGTCACCATGCACTTACATTACCAACACTGTACAAATAGGTCAGTAAGGTTTCATAACCTTGGTATATCAGTGTTTCACAGCTGTGTTCATGTCAACATGTGGTAGTGCCTTGCTTAGTGGCATTCATTATTGTTGTCGAATGTTTTTGTGTGCCAATGCAAGAATGTCTAAGCTTGAATTAGAGCAAAAAGCACACATTTAATTTCCTGTTAAACTTGGCAAGAACGAAAGTGAAATCCAGGACATGTTAGTCCAAGTTTATGGGGATAATGCCATGAAGAAAATGGCAGTGTACAAATGGGTTAAATGTTTTTCTGAGGGGAGAGAATGCGTCACTGATGAAGAGCAGTCAGGGCGGCCAGTAATGAGCAGAACTGATGAAAACATTGCAAAAATTCATCGAATTGTGTGTCAAAATCATCAGCTGACTGTGAGACACATAGCAGACCAAGTAAATATCGATAGAGAAAGAGTTAGGAAAATCTTAACTGAAAATCTTGGCATGAGAAAGGTGTATGCAAAAATGGTCCTGAAGGAGCTCACTGATGCACAAATGCAAAGGAGAGTCGAAGTTTTCCATGACCTTTTGGAGAGGCAGGACGATGTTTTGGGCCATGGTATCACTCTATGATGAAACATGGGTATACAAATATGAACCTGAAACAAAGCATCAAATTGCACAATGAAAGTCAGCCAATTTTCCATGACCGAAAAAGTTCTGTCAGTCCAAATCAAGAGTCAAAACAATGTTGCTAACCTTTTTGATATCAAAGGGATTATTCATTATGAATTTGTACCAACTGGACAAACAGTTAACCAAGTTCACTATTTGGAAGTGCTGAAAAGGCCACATGAAAAAGTTAGACAAAAACAACCTGAAGTTTTTCTCCAACAATTCATGGCTCTTGCATCACGACAATGCACCAGCTCACATGACACTGTCTGTAAGGGAGGTTTTAGCCAGTGAACAAATAACTGTATTGGAACACCCTTCCTACTCACCTGATTTGGCCCCCAATGACTTCTTTCTTTACCCAAAGAATAAAGAAATATTGAAAAGAAGACAATTTGATCACATTCAGGACAAAGAGTAATATTGTACACTGACAGCTCTGATAGCCGTTTCAGGAAAAGAGTTCCAAAATTCCTTTTAAGGTTGAACTAGGCACTGGTGTTAGTGCATAGCTTCCCAAGGGGAGTACTTCACAGGTGACCATACTGATATTCAGCTATGAGGTACGTAGCACTTTTCTAAGATGTGTTCACAAACTTAATTGTCAGACCTCGTATATCCAGTTTTCCAGTAAATGATGTACTTCCTAGTGAGCTGGATGACCAGGAGTCATAACTTACATCTTTTAACAGGTGTGTATTAACACCTTCACCTAAATAACTGGTTTGTGTTTATAGACCACCATAAATTTGCCTCAACCCACATGGTTCTTTCTATCAATGACTGGCATGGCATAGCCCTTTATTCACTTATTCCACACATTTATTGGTCACCTCCCATATATTAAGCATTTTTCCAGATGCCAGGGATATATCAGTGAAGAAGAAAGACTTCATGGAGCTTATATTCTGTTGGGGGAATTGATAATAAATATTCCAGCATAATGCTATCTAGTGATAAGTGTTACGAAGGGTAAGAAGGCAAGTTCAAGAAATGGAGAGTAACAGCATTGTTATTTCACAGGAGGTGGTCTAGAAATGCCTCCCAGAGAATGCTGACTTCACAGTTACGGTGCCCATTACAAGAAGCCGATTCTTTTTTTTCCTCTGGGGTCTTTCAGTGGCTACTGCTAATTTTCACTTCTTACCCCCTCAGGCAAAATCCTCGGCCATGGTGCCTTTGGTAAAGTGGTAGAAGCCTGTGCATTTGGCATCGACAGAGCTTCAACTTGCAAAACAGTGGCAGTGAAAATGCTTAAAGGTAATGTTTACATACCTTTGGAGGCTATTGAGGGACATCTGCAAGGATGCTTGGTGTCAGGTAGAAAACTGGACTGTAAAGGATATGAAGTTGAAGTATCAAAGGGAGTTATCTACAACCAACTTTCACCCTTATTTCATCAATATTTTCCATGGAAGCATCAGCCATGGGCACATGAGCCGATCATCATGGAACCTTGTGTGTCAGCCTATTTGTCCTCTCCTGGGTTCAGAAACATAAATATAGAAGTAGAGATTTGGGGGTTTTTAGTTGTGGGTAACGCCAATATAAGTCAGCAATGATATTTGGCCACCAGAATTCCTACATTGTCTTCTATTGTGTGAGTAGAATTATATGATATATAATAAGCTTGGATAGAATTGCACCTGGAGTCTGCACTGTTCAGGCTGCATAAACCTGTAGTGTGGTTCCAATCTTGAATAGATAAACTTGTATGTATTTAAACATCCCAGTACCATCCAGTCCATATCCCTGATTCCACAGAGAAAAGCACTTAAATCAAACTGGGCCAATCCACCAATTACCTCTCCAGGACAGTAATTCAGAAAAAAGTTTTTCACAAAAGAAGTAGCTATCAAAGAATGTCTTTTTCAAAATTAAAAAGTAGAATATAATTGAGGCTGTTAGTACATAAGGCTCAGAATCCAGGCAAGCTAGTGCATGGGATGATATTATGTACCCATTTATAATGTTGTTTGGAAAGCACAAAAGCTAATAATTGTGTTCTGGACATTTCTGCCAGAATTCTTTAGCAGTATACAGAATCTCCATTGCTCCAGCTGCCTCTCCCAGGGTGAACAACTCTTTTATACTTTACTGTGTTTATTTCAAGCAGATTGTGCAACTTCCAGTGAGTTTAAGGCTTTGATGTCAGAATTGAAGATCCTCATTCACATTGGTCACCACCTCAATGTGGTTAACTTACTAGGTGCCTGCACCAAACCTGGAGGTAAGGAGTCTTTCATACCTGGACAGAACTGCCTTCTAGGGGTCAGAGCACTCAGAAGCAAAGCAGGACCTGACTTAGACAGGCCTTCAAGTACAGCATGCAAATTCTTCTAACTTAGAGACCATGCAATTCACAGAACCTCTAGAGCCCATGTTCTTTGAACCCTGTTCTAGGCAATACTGTACAATATACAAAGGGATCAGGTGTATCTCTAAAATTCTTGCCAACTTGGACATCCTATGAACACTTTAGTTGAAGAGAAAAAGTTGGGGTGCTAAGGAGGTATGCCAATATATTCAGGGAAAAGGACTTCACAACCCTTTTGAGTTTCCCATTTCAGCTTCCACCTTCTTAGCTTAGCACCCACCACCATAGCCTGAGGAGAGATTTCACCCACTAAGTCAATTAGCAATTCTACAGCTCCTGTTCATTTACAGATTTCAAGCCACTCCCTTGACTACACTAAAAGCCCTTTGTTCCTCTTTTAAAGTGCTACTGTTGTCTGCCCTTTCATTTAACTTTATCTTAAGCAACATTTTCTGAGCCCCTACTTATTTTATGTGAGGCAATATGCCAGGGGATTGGAGGGGTTTATCAGAGGGTGGTGTTGCTAACCTATACAAATAAATAAAAGATGCCTTCAAGCCACATATAACTTGCAATGTGGTCAAGTACAGAGAAAATGTAGGCTATGGGAAACCTGCAGACAGTCTTAAGCCATGGAGTAACACGATGACAGTTGAGAGAAGCCTTTTAGCAAGATAGTGGTATTGGGGGTAGGGCAACAATGTGAAGGGTGCAGACAGGAGCCTCAATTAGCCAATCCATGAAACATCTAGCTGGTTGGATGCTCTTTGCCTTTGTCATTGGACTGTAAACTGCATGTGGTCAGGTGCTCTGTCATGCTAATTCTTCTAACCTTCATGTTAGCCAGCCCAGAGAACACCACAAAAAGGTTCATTGTGGTTTATTGACTATACTTTTGCCTTTCTGTCAAATGTTCCTTTACTCCACTCATCAGCTGGCCAGATGTTTCTGGAATATGTCACCATTTTATCCAGCACAAGTAATCAGTCAACTGATTTGCAACTAGAGAAATCCTGTACGAGATTTTAGGAGATCCCTGGTCAAAAGGTTACCAGGACAAGGCTATCCCAAGAATTAGCTACCCTTCGTCATCATTCCTGGAAAAATGACTGTAGGCTATACTTTTGGCAGGTCCTTTGATGGTCATTGTAGAATTCTGCAAATATGGGAACCTGGCCAACTTTCTGAGAGGGAAGAGAGGAGATTTTATTGCTTCCAAGGTAGGTTTCCCCAACTAAACCCCACACTCCATCTGCATTTTTGAATCCTATATGGAGGTTTTCTAATAAGAAAGGGAAGGAGGGAGAAAGGAAAGGAGGGAGGGAAAGAGAGAGAGAGAGAGAGAGAGAGAGAGAGAGAGAGAGGTGTTCTTATCCTAAGAAGCATATTGATTCAATC